CGGTGAGCGGGACTGACCCGGGCACGTGCAGATCCCAGGGGGCTGCCCGTCTTGCGCATAGTCCCGGCGAAGCGCGAGTGAGTTCTGCTGTGGCTCCACCACACACTTGACCAGCGTTCAGAAGCACGGACAGGGCTTCCCCTCCTCCCCAAGGTGTCACTGCAGCCAGAGGCTCTCAGCGCTGATAGCGCCCTGCCTCCCAGCCACTCCCCCTACCTCTGACAGGCTTCCGTCGGGCGCCCAGCTAGAAATCTAGAAAATACCGGACACTGCACATGTCTGGTATTTTCTCAATTTTTTTACTAAACTGTCCCAACCCCCCAAAAAAACAGACTGTCCTGCGACCCCCATGGGGGTCACGACCCACAGTTTGATAGGGTATAAGGTGGCTTTGGCTAAAACATTGTAGAGTAACACTTGTTGCTTTGGCGGATGACGCTTATGCAGAGACAAGCGAAGTACTTCCCTTCTCATTCTTCAGGATATCTCTCTCCAGCATTTGTTACCTTGGATCAAATTCTCTTATCCCACCAGCTGCAGAGGTGGACAGAGATTCCTTGAAATAGCTCAGCTTATACTTCTGTGGTCAGGGGAAATTATGGGCCATCCATCCTTAGAGCCCTCACGAGTGGAATCCCATGACAGTCAGTCCTCCATTCCCTCCCCTATTTTATTCAGTGACGAGCCAATGGATGAGATGGTGGGGCTACACAGGTTAAAGTGTCAACAGTATACAGAAGACATTACACTCTTTATCTCCTTTATGAACAGCATCATCTCTCAGTATTCTCTGTGGTTAGCCAATATCTGCATATGGAAGGAGCACAAATGGCTTAAAATTAATCCAGGAAAGACTAAGGTGATGTACTAAGAGGAAATCATTTTGAGGAACTTGTTTCCTCTGTAACCGCATTCTATGTCTATTATTACAGGCATCTGCTCTCAAAGGGTATGTCTATGCTGCACCATAACTTGAAATAAGATACACAATTTGAATTGCACAAATTGCGTATCTTATTTTAATGCTATTTTGAAATAGTTTATTTTGTCAGACAGCGCCAAATTTTGAAATAGGGCGCTATTCCCAGACATCCCTTACTCCTTGTAGAATGAGGGTTATAGGGACATCGGAATGGCGAGCCCAAAATAATGGGCTTGTTGTGAAGACGCAGGATAGCTATTTCCATTAAATAGTGTTGCAGTGTAGACATACCCAAGTTGTTAAGTCTGTCTATTGCTTGAGGTCCTTTAGGACTCCTCAGTGCTACCATAAGCCCAAGCTGAGACTGGGAGCAGTCTCACACAAACAAACAATAAAGACCAGAATTTTATATCCCATCCTGTCACTATCAGAATTAGGCACAACAATACAATCATTTATAACTTTTTGATATTACAGTTTGTTATACATAGGCTTGATAGAATTTGATTTTACATATTATTTTGACAGATAATACCAATGTTTAATTTTAAGCTTAACAATTTTTATCTATTTAAATGTTCACAGTTGCATAAAACTGTGGGGTATAGGAGGAATCAACATCAGACGTAAAATATATACAAAGTAAACATATTTAAATCGAACTCTAATTCTCAACCAGAATTTTTCTTATGTGCCTATCTGTAAATTTCAGTTATTATACATGAAAATATTTTTCAGCAATTTGTCTATGTATTGTGAAAACAGATATTTACTAACATTAGTGATAAAAATACAAGTCTTCCCATACTATATACAGGTATAAAGCCACACACACTGGAAAAGTTCCAACTGGTATAAAAAGCAGCAGCCCATCTATATAATAACACAGGTTATGATACACTTGATGCACTGTTGCCTATTCAATAGAGAGGCCAGTATGAGATTTCTGTCCCAATAATCAAAGTTCTCTTCATGCCTGGTCTTAGCTACTTAGAAATACCCCCTTTCATTCAAAATGATTAATCAGTGGGGCAGATGCATGCATACTAGGGATGTTAAATATCAGTTAATTGAATAGTCAATTAACCTCATGAAATCTTATCACTCACTCGACTATTCTATAATTCCCAGGGGTGAGGCTGGCAGTCAGTATACACCAGCCCCACTTCCTAGGAACCCCCTGCCACTCCGTGCTGCTGTCTCTGTATCAAGGCAGCAGCATGGGGTGCCAGGCTGGAGCTGGTGCAGGAGGAGAGCCAATTTAAAAACCAGCTCCCCTTCCAGACCAGCTGCCTGTTGCCCCATGCTGCTGCCTCTGATACAGAGGCAGCAGCGCAGGGTGGCAGCATCCCCTGTCCAGGGGAGTAGGTCTGAGCTTCAGAACACGGTGCAATCCAGAACTGAGCTGGGCTGCCTGCCCACCTGGCTCCTAACAGACTTTAAATGCAGAGCCACAGCAGGGGTAGGTCCTGGCCCCGGTGCAAGCCAGAACTGAGTCGGACTGCTGGCCAGCCTACTAAAAAATTCACTAACTAGTGGAGGGGGAAATGCGTGTAGTCTATAGCATTAACTAATAAATTTTGCTTATTGGTTAATCAACTATATTATTACTTCCCCAATGCATAGTGGAGACAATATATTCCTAGGAGCTGGAGCTAGACTGCAGAATTTGTGGTTAAGAAAACTAACCACGGATTTCACAGAATTCACAATTAAACATCAAGCTCATCTTTTTAATTTGTCTTTCCTTCAATAACAGCTTCGTATATCCACATAAAAAACAAACACACAATACTATTTCTCTTTCAGACTAGAAACAAATGTTGCTGCAGCTCTAGCAGGCACAGCGGAGGGAGGGGTGCATGTCCCCCCAGCTGGGGCAGATCTAGGTTTGTCTGCCCCCTGCAGCCCTCAGCCAGAGTGAGGAATACAGAAAACTGTGCACTTTTCCCTTGCTCCCTGACATAGAACAGCCAACAATGTTCCCCTATCAGTAGGGGGACGGAGGGGCTTCAGCTCCCCCTGCCTTCTCTAAAGGATACCTGGGGTGAAGGAATGGGGCAGGAGTAATCTCAGGGGGGCTCATCCCCAGCCAGCCCCTTTCACCTGCCTGGTGACTGTCTCTTTTTTATATAGCTTTATGAAAAGCAATCCTGTTCCAGGCACATCCCATTTTCCTAGCACAACGAAACCCTTACTTACCCTGCTGTAAATTATAAGAGGAAGCTGCATACCAAATTTGGTGATCCTACTTCTTACTGTGTAGGAGGAGTTCTTGAACAAACAGAAGAACACATTCACCGACACACGGACTCTGTCAAATATATAACAGACTCTCTCTAATATATATAGTAAATATTAATAATTTCTAATTTGTAAATAGTTTTAGGCATTTGACTACAAACATAACAAAACTAGATTAATAATTTATTTTGAAATTCTTTACTTACAACTACTTAATCCTTATGTGGGAAAGAATTTCCTTGTGAATTATTGGACCTCTCTGGGCTTGTGACAAATAAATAGGTGTATTACTTATGTATTTGGCACTGTGCAAGCACTTTTGAAAAACTGTGTTTAGTCCTTGTGTGCAAAATTCAAGAACAAAGCTGATAAATTGGAGAGGGGTCAGAGAAGAACCATGAAAATGTGAGGGAGATTGGAAATCATGTCCTGTAGTGAGAGGAGCTCAATGTATGTAATTTAACAAAGAGAAGATTAAGGAGAAACTAGTTCACAATCTGTAGGTACACTCATTGGAAGCAAAAATTTGATAAC